TATTTTTGTTATTAGAGGTAAAGTTATGTTTGTATCTTTTTTGGGGGTTGTTGGAAGATTACTTACTTGCTTTTCCTAGGTTGTAGTTTCCCTCCTTGTGTTGGCATTTTCCATCAATTATCCTTTGAAGTGCTGGGTTTGTGGGAAGATATTGTGCAAATTTGGTTTTGTCATGGAATATCTTGGTTTCACCATCTATAGTGATTGAGAGTTTTGCTGGGTATAGTAATCTGGGCTGGCAATTGTGTTCTCTTAGTGTCTGTATGATGTCAGTCCAGGCTCTTCTGGCTTTTATAGTCTCTGGTGAGAAGTCTGGTGTAATTCTTATAGGTCTGCCTTTATATGTTACTTGACCTTTTTCCCTTACTGCTTTTAGTATTTTTTCTTTGTTTTGTGCATCTGATGTTTTGATTATTATGTGACGGGAGGTATTTCTTTTCTGGTCTAGTCTATTTGGTGTTCTGTAGGCTTCTTGTATGTTTATGGGCATCTTGTTCTTTAGGTTAGGGAAGTTTTCCTCAATAATTTTGTTGAAGATATTTACTGGCCCTTTAAGTTGGGAATCTTCATTCTCATCTATACCTATTATCCTTAGGTTTGGTCTTCTCATTGTGTCCTGGATTTCCTGGATGTTTTGAGTTAGGAGTTTTTTGCATTTTGCATTTTCTTTGACAACTGTGTCAATATTTTCTACCGTATCTTCTGCATTTGAGATTCTCTCTTCTATCTCTTGTATTCGGTTGGTGATGCTTGCGTCTGTGACTCCTGATCTCTTTCTTAGGTTTTCTATCTCCATGGTTGTCTCCCTTTGAACTTTCTTTATTGTTTCTATTTCTAGTTTCAGATCCTGAATGTTTTTGTTTAATTCCTTCTTTGTGTTTTCTTCCATTTCTTTAAGGGATTTCTGTGATTCCTCTTTAAGGGCTTCTATCTGTTTACTTGTACTCTCCTGTATTTCTTTAAGGGAGTTACTTAATTCCTTCTTATAATCCTCTATCATCATCATGAGAAGTGATTTTAATTCTGAATCCTGCTTTTCAGGTGTGATGGGGTGTTCAGGGCTTGCTATATTGGGAGAATTGGGCACTGATGATGCCAAGAAACTTTGGTTTCCGTTGCTTATGTTCTTGAGCTTGCCTTTCGCCATCTGGTTAACTCTAGTGGTACCTGCCCTCACTGTGTAAAACTGGAGTCTGTATTTCCAGTTATCTTGCTTATTGCAGAGCTCCTCAGAGTCCAGAGGTCTCTGTGGTCTTATGCTCCTAATCTCCTGGGTGGAATAACTCCTGGGACTCAGGCCACCTCTTGGATCTGGAAATCCTTCTGCTCTGAGTGCAGTGGGTCCTCGATGACTCAGGATTCAGTTTCAGCTGCTCTGAGTGCAGTGGCTCCAGCTGCTCTGAGTGCAGTGGCTCCTGGATGACTCAGGATTCAGTTTCTCAACAGGACGGGAGCAGACCGACTCTGTGTCTGCTCCAGCCCAGAGGACCAGGCAGGGGCAGAAGGGAAGTGGAATTCCGGAGGGGCGGGGT